GGGCGCAGGGCTGGGCGGGGGCAGGCGGACGGTGCAGGAGATGGGGGCGGGCGGCGGGATGGAGCGGCTTGAGGTAACCCTACGGGTGTGGGCTGCCGAGGCTCATCGGAGCCCAGCCCCAGGCCTGGCCCCAGCCCGCCCGGGCAGGGCCCACGGTTCCTCCAGAGGCTCGGCCTCGGCTCTGTCTGCCTGGTTTGGTTTGGTGCTAGTGAGCAGTCAGTGTTAGTGGTGGGAGGGGCTGTGTCTGTCTTGCTAGTAGGGAGTGAAGCGGCTGTACCCTCCTCGGTATAGACTAGCCTGCAACATCAAAGATGAAAAAAAAGCCAATCAGTATTCGAGAGAGAGGCAAAGCCCAGTTCTTCCCTTTTTTTTTTTTCCTCCTTTTTTTTTTTTCCTCTTTAAAATGACACCAAATCACTTCTGTCCTTGGGACGTGAAGGGCGGGCAGGGCTGAGGGTGCCCAGTGCTGCCCAGGCTCTGGGATGGCTGAGGGTGCTGCCTTGGGGCAGTGCATGGGCTGGGGGGGGGGGGGGTGGGTCCCCCCGCGGTAGCGGCTGCCTGGGGCCGGGGATGCCGAGGGGTGCTCGGCAGCCTGGCCCCAGCCAGGGGTGGGGGTGGGTTAAAAAAGGAAGAAAAAGATGGGTTGGCTTTGAGATCCTGCCCATAAGTGGGATTTTTCATCTTTGATGCTGGTTGTGAGGCTAGCTAAGAGCCGCTGCGAGCGGGTGGGCTGCAGGTGCTGGCGTGCACGCGTGCTCCCTGCACATGGCTGCGCGCTGGGGTCTGGGGACATGGCCCCGTGCCGGGGAGAAGAAAGGGGGGGGTCCCTAGGGTGCTGCTCAGGCAGCCAGCGCAGGGGGCAGCCGGGCCCCCGGGAAGCGACGTGTGCTGGCGACTGCGCGGGGTTGCCTCTGGCCAGGTGGCATGGGGCACATAGGGTGGAGGCACGGGGGGGGCCTCCTCTCTTGCCTGCCTGTGGACAGAGCCAGGCAGGGGCTGGGCTGGTCCCGCCACCGCCGCCGCGGGGTTGCCTCTGGCCAGGTGTAATGGGGCACATAGTGTGGAGGCACGGGGGGGGCCTCCTCTCTTGCCTGCCTGTGGACAGAGCCAGGCAGGGGCTGTGCTGCTCCTGCCACCGCTGCCAGCTCCCGGCCCCCCCTCCCATGGCCCCTGTGTGCGGGGCTGTCCCGCACCCCTTGCCTGCCCCCGCACCCCGCAGGCTCCCCGGGATGCTGTGCCGGGCCCCCCTCCCTGGGCTGGCTGCAGCTCGCGCCAGGAAGCAAAGAAAGGCTGTAGAGGCTGCTCTTACCATGGTGCCGATGCTGTACGTGGCGGCGGGGCCGATGGTGTGGTGGTACGGGTCTGCCGCTGCATACACTCTGCCGTAACTAGGAGCAAACACAGCGGAGGGCGTTAGCGAACGGGGTTGGGGTCCCGTCTCCCCTCAGCAGCCCCCCCACCTGGCTGCTGCTTCCCCCTGGTGTGCCTGGGAGCCCCCCAGCACCTCCCTGCTTCTCCCTGCCTGGGCACCAGTCCCTGCCAAAACAAACCCAAAGGGGAGGGCAGGAGCCCCCAGTTTGCAGGACACCCTCATCGTGCCTGGCTCTGTCCTCGTCCCACGGCACACAAAAGCTGGGGCGTGTCAGACCGGGTGGTGCAGGGGGTGAAACGGGTCTTTCCCCCCACCCTGGGAGTGATGCCCGCAGCGCAGCAGTGCTTACCTGTCGCTGTACGCTGCCGCTGCTGCCGCGGGCTGGGCGTATCTGTAGGCGGCATAGCCCCCCTGCAGCAGATGGAGAAACTGCTGTCAGGGAGGGGGGCAGCACCCGCCGGGGGAGGCTCGGGGGGCTGGGGCAGCTGGGCACCCCCCGGGCACTGCCACGGAGCAGCAGTGGGACCCCGCGGGGAGCTGGTGCCCATGCCACCAGGCGCACACCAGCCTCATTACCATTCCCCAGGGGCTTTCACAAACATTAACCTTAAAAAATTAAATTTCCAGAGGAGAGAATGTCACCTCCCTGATCGCTTTAATGAGGTGTCACGTTAGATAAATCCTTCAGCTGCCCGCCTGAAATATCGCCAATGGCTTCTTAAATATGGAGGTTAAATGCCAGTGTAAGACAGCGCACTGGCGCTCGCCAAGGCTGTAAATCCCATACGGTGCTGGCCCCACGAGGGGCCTGGCTGGGGGCATAGGATCCCACATGGTGCCACCTCGCTCTAGAGGAGCCGCGCTCCCGTCTGCACTCCACCCGGGCTCTGGCTGCCCTCCCCAGGGGAAGGGGCTGGCCGGGGGCAGAGCCCGAGACGGAGCTGCCAGGTGCTGCTCATCCCCTGCCCTGGCACAGGGTCCCCAGCGTGGCCCAGACTGGGGCACGGCGGCACTTACGTAGATCTCGGCTCCATAGAACCCGTCCTGGTAGACGACCCTGCAAACGAGGCGGAGGCGTCAGAGCCTGGCCTGTGTCACCGGCCAAGAGGGATCGGGGTGAAGCCGGTGAACCAGGGGGAGCTGCTTCCAGCAGCACAGCCAACGAGTGAGGAGCGGCCGTCCAGGCAGCCCAAGGGCACGTCCTGGCCTGGGACTCCTGGCAGGGAGGGCAGGGACGCGGGGACGGCATGGCCAAGGACAGGGATGGAGGAGTCCGGGGCACGATCACTGTTGGGAGCACCGAGAGGCCACAGATTGCCATCGCCATGCCTGACACCAGAGTGGCTGTGCGTGCCAGGAGGGAGAGCATTTCCATTAAACCAACTGACACAGCTGGAATAACGGTCTGTGCTTCGGGGCACAGGAGGCACACAGGTCACCCTGAGGGGCAGCAGCCTGGGGGGCTTCACAGAGCCCAAGCCCAGGCAGGTGCTGGGGGAGCTGCAGCCCGTTCCTGAAGCACGAGAGCCCTGCCATGCTGCTGCTGATGGCAGCAGAACCCCAGCAACGCGGCAGCAAACGGCCCCCCCGCCCCGAGGCGGGCAGTGCCCCCCGCCGCCCGGGTACTCACGCGCCATAGGTGGGGATGGGCGGTGGCGGCGGCGCAGCCCGGAAGGTGTTGTAGACGGCACGTCCTCGTCCCCGTAAGTGTGCCCCTCGGTAGGCCACGGCCGTCCCCGTGGCGGGGTACGGGAACCCCGTTACTGCAGGAGGGAGGGGACAAACGTGGGCTTTCTGCAGCAGCTCCCCACAGCGCACGGCTGGGACCCCTGCAGCCACCGCAGGGCGTCCTGTGCAAGAGCCTGCCTCCGTCCCCCGGGCCTGCCAGTGACACAGCCCCACGGGGACACGGGGGCAAGGGGACGGGGTGGGGGGAGCTGTGCATGCAGCAGTGCAGGAGGGGGAGAGGGGCTGGGGGCTGCTCGCTGCTCAGAGCAGCGGTGGGGTCGGATGCGGTGTGAAGCAGACATCTGGGGGGACCCGTGGCAGGGCTGACCCCAACCAGACGTTACCTGCATAGAACTCAGGGCCGTAGACCGCTCCCACCACCGGGTTCAGCTTCCAGCCTGCGGGCAGGGAGAGCCAGTGAGGCCAGGGGCACCCTCCCCATGGTGCTCCCCCCACCTCCCAGCTGGGCTCCGAGGGACCACAGCTCCCATCCCAGGGTGGCTGCAGGGCATGGGGTGCCTGGAGAGGCTGCACCCCCACACTGGACTCTCCCATCTGCCCAGGGGTGCGAAGGCAGTTTGCTGCAGGAGCTCAGCGGCAGCCTGGCAGCAAGGGGACCCAGGAATGCCCCTGCCCGCAGCAGCTCTGGCTCTCCTTGCGCTGGCCCTTACCGTTGGTGTAGGGGTTGGCAGCCTTCTTGTTCGTCATGACCCGGGCCGTGGCGTTGTTCACCTGCGGAGAGAGGGGATGGGACCTCAGCACCTGCGGGCAGCGGGGCTGGTGAGGCCGCAGTCCAAGGCCTGCTTGGCCGCACTCGGCGCACATCGCTGCTGCTTCAGATCCCGGAGCGAAGGACACCGGCCGCGCGAGGAAACGCAGGAGGAGCCTCTGCCTGCAGCCGCCCTGCCGTGACGCAGTCCTGCCTGCACCCCCGGCCAGCCCAGGCCTTTTGGCTCCTGCCCCAGCTCCAGCGACGAGCATCGGTTGGGCTGGCGGCCGATGCCTTGAGCGCTGCGGTGCTGTGCTCAGGCTAAGCCGCAACACGCTGCCGCCAGGCTTAGCCACCTCCCGTCCCCACCCCATGCCCGACCCAGCCTGCAGGAAGGATGCACTTGCAGCAGGAGCCTGGGTCATTTCTGCAAGCACCCGCGAGCTCCTGCTCGGCTTTGTTGGACCACGTTCCCTGCTAGGCATGGCCCATCCACGGGGCATCGCTGTGCCTTGCCAGGCTGCCCTTCCCTCGGCTCAGCACTGCCGGGGATGTTTGCGTCCCGCTCCCTCCGCTGTGTCTTGCCCCACCTCCCACCGCTCGCCTGTGATCGGCAAGGTGCTGCCAACGAATGGGCAGAGCCTTATCCCTCTGCCTGGCTTGAAGAAATAAAAGCCTCGGGGGCAGGGCAGCGCAGCAGCTGCCTGCACAGTGGGCGCGGAAGCCCTGCGCAGCATCCTTCCCTCCCGGGTGCAGGGGAGGTGGGGATGGCACGTGGAGCAGAGAGCCCCTCTCCTCCCTGCAGAGCTCAGGGCGGCTGCATAGCAGACACGGGGGCTGCAGGCAACTGGGGTCCACCAGACCCCACTGTAACCGGGCAAAATGCAGCCAGAGCCCGGGCTGGTGCCCCAGCTCTCCAGACGAGAGGTTTGTTTGAGCCAGATGCTCCTTGCACCAATTGAAAATCTTCCCGGCAGCCGGCACGCATGCTCCCATGCTGCATTCACAGACGTATGGACGCACCGGGCAAGCCTCCCCTGTGGCATGCGGGACTGGGGCAGCATCCAGGGCTGCCCAAAGTTCCCCCTGCCCCGGCTCTCCCCTGCCTGCAGCCCCCAGGCAGTTCTGCCCTGCCTGCAGCCCCTGGCAGGAGAGGGCCCCCCGGGCAGGACGGAGGGGATGCACGCACACGCAGGCATGGCACTAGCACACTTATCTGAGCACCTCAATCTTCCGGCCCTCTACGATGGTGCCATTCAGCTTCTCCCGTGCCCGGTCGGCATCTGTGCTAGTTTCAAAAGTTACAAACCCAAAACCCTGTGAGCAGAGGAGAAAAGGAGAAAGAAAGAGACAGAGAGAGACAGAGAGGGTGCGGGGACAGAGAGAGAGAGGGGGTGAATCAGGAGAGCTGGCGCAGGAGGTGAGGCTGCCGCAGTGCAGAGATGGAGAGCCCAGGCCGGGGCCCCCGCTGGGTCTCGGGGTCCCGGCTGAGGCCCCAGCATCGCCCGTGAGCTGGGAGAAGAGTCTGGGAGAGGGGCACAGAAAGCAGGGAAGATACAACAGAGACATCCATACACAGAGGGACACAAGCTGCCTGTGCAGCGGGGGGCAGAGCGAGCCCTTCCCTCCCTCCAGCGCTCGGGGTGCAGGGACCCGCACGGCCCGCCCAGCCGGCACAGGGCAGTGGGACGGGGCTGCCCCGAGATAGGGTACCCCGTGCCTGGGTCCCGCGGGGCAGGAGAGGAGGGGCAGCAGGCAGAGGAGCCCCCAGGACTCCCAGCTCCACCAGGCCCCCTCCCCGGGGCTCGCCATGACAGCGCCGGCCACGGACAGCACCCACCTTTGAGCCCCGCTCATTGAAAATGATCTCCACGTCCAGGATCTTCCCGAATTGCTGCAAGCAGAGAGAGCAGAGGGATGAGCACCTGTAGAGCCTCTGGCCCCGCATCCGGAGCTGCTGGCACAGACCTCTGCACCTGGCCGGGCCAGGGACAGGCAGGGGGCTGCCTCGGGGGCCAGACCAGAGGACCCTTGGTGCCACGCAGGGGAAAGCCCCTGTCCCTCCCATAGCAACCGCTCCTTCACGCACTTGAGGAGTATCACCCAAAATCTCATTAGCCTGCACTGCTCTGAATCCTAATGAGGGCTGGGAAGGGGACAAGGGCTCTGTGTCACTCCCCCCGCCATGCACGGGCCTGGGTCCGACAGCCTGGCTGTTAACCAGGGTGCAAATCCCGCAAACCACCACTGCTGGCCAGCAGCTGCAGAGGTGCCTGTGAACACCGCGGGCTGGGCAGGACAGGCCCTTGGGACAGGACAGTGCCGGGGTCCCTGTGGTGCCGTGGGGCAGCACCAGAGCAGAGAGCAGCAAGATGTGGGTGGCTGGACAGGGCTGGACTCACCCCGAACATTTGCCGCAGGTCGGGGTCCCGGAATCGGAAGGGGATGTTGGAGACGTGTAACCTCTTGGGCTGCTGCTTGTCTGTGTTGTCTGAGGAGTGTAGCTGCTGGCTGTCTGTCTGTGCCGCTTCATCTGTTTGCTGCGGGAAGCACCGATGGCCATCAGCCCCTGGCCTTGCCAGCCCCGCGTCCCCCAGTGGGGGTCCAGGCACGGGGACTGTCCCCCTCCCCTGTGCTTGGCCCTGCCTGCCCCCAGGGACACCCTGGACCCTGCTGTTCCCAAGCTCTGGGCAGCACCCGTGGGTGTCCCTGCAGCCCAGTGAGGCACAGGGATACTGGGGGGATCTCTGCCTGCAGGGAGCTGGGGAACGCCCAGCCTGGGGAACCAGCCACCCACCCTGCCTGCACCTCCCCGCCCCGGCTGGTGCCGCCAGCGGGGTCAGGACATCGCCCACCCCATGAGTGGTGCTGGGGACCTGGGGGGCTGAGCGCTGGGGGGGTGCAGGAAGCACAACCCTGGGGAGGGGGAGGCCTGGGCGAGGGTTAGGGGCGATTCGCCACAGAGAGCCAGCCAGCACTGGGTGGCCTCACACTGGCCTCTCTCCCTGCCGTCAGCCCAGTGGCACGGTGCCCGGGGTCCGTGACCATGGCACACGGGTGTTTTCAGGGCGGGGGGGGTGGCACACTCCGCACGCGGCGCTGCTGTGGCCAGGCTGCGAAGTGCTCAGCTCAGCACTTTCCCCGGCACTGCATTACAACCCCGTAATTGAAGCTATCTGGTGGGAAGGCAGCCAAGCAGGTAGATTACAAGTGATTAGAAATGACGGGGGGGCCGTGAGGGAGAGAGCCGGCAGCCGTGGCGGAGGCACCCAGCCCAGCGCCCTGAGGGACCGCAGCCGGGCGAGCGCTGCTGCCCCAGCACCTCTCCCAGCAGCTCCAGCACTGCCCTTGGACCCCTGCCCGCCCCCCTGGACACCGCTCCCTTACCGGTACCGTCTGTGTCCCTGCTATGGACTGTGTGCTGGCGTCGGTGCCCGGCTGCTCGGCGTGGCTCTGTGCTGGTGTGTAGAGGGTCATGGCGTGCTCCGGTACTGTGCTTTGCCCAGAGTAGTCCTGCGTGGGGAGGGGGTGCGGCGGCGCGTACTCTGCGGGGATCCCGTTCTGGGGGGGCGGGGGGTACTGGGCCGGGGGGCAGGGCTGAGCCCTCGCGTCCGGGGGCGCCGCTGGTCCTGGTTACCCTGCCAAGACAGCGGCACCATCCCCCTTACCCACCGATGTCCCCGGGGTGCCTGGGCTGCGACCTGCCCCAGGGAAGGGTCCTGGTCCCCGCAGCCAGACCCAGGCCCCCCAGCCCCACCACGCCCCAGCCTTTGGTGTTGTCCCCCCGAAACCCTTGGCTGTCTCTGTGCTGCAGCAGCTCCTGGGTTGCGTGGCCCGCAGCTGAGCCCCCATCCTCTCCCACGCCGGGGCCCTGCCTGCCCGGTGCGCTGGGGCTTGGGCAGCAGGAGGATACAGCCCACCCTGCAGGGCTTAACTAGGGGAGCCTGCACATCGCCCTCTCCTCGGGGAAGGAAACCAGGGCAGCTCTCAGTTTGGAGCCCGTCGTGGGGCAAAGCAAAGCCTGGCTGTGGGGCCAGGCCAGCATCACTCTGGGCGGGCTGCACAGCATCAGCGCCTGCCAGCAGCAAACCCAGTGTCCCAGTGACGGCGGTGGCAGCAAAGGGGAGCAGGTCCAGGGAGGGATGCTGATGGCCCCTTGGCAAACACCAGACAGGGATCAATTAACTGCTAAATATTTGATTAGGCCCTTTGCTCTAATGCAATCAGCCTGGCTGCCCTGGTCAAACGGGGTGAGCTGCACCTGTGCCGCGGGCTGAGGGCTGCCCACTGCCTGCCGGGGATGCAGCATGGGGCTGGGGGGAGCAGCTGCATGGGGCTGCCAGCCTGCGCCTCTCCTGCACACCCACCCACCCACCATCCATCCTCACAGCCCCACGTGCACCCGCAGGCTCTCCTCCCTTGCACACGTGTGCACTGCACCCAACACCGCACACAGATGCCCACCGAAACACAGCAGCAGCCCTCGCCGGCAGCCGAGAGGCTGCGAACGCCTGAGCCAGCATGCAGGGCAGTGCCGGCAGCCCCTCGGATGCTTTACAACCTGCCGTGGCAGCCTCTCGCCCATGAAATACATCTGTGGCTCAGCCCATGGAGACAAGCTCCTTAATTGTGTGTGTGGCCGATTTATGGTGCGGAGGGACGGCGGGGAGCAGGCGGGGGGGCCGTGCTGCCAGCCGCCATCCCCCAGCTGGCAGGGCCGTCGCGCTTGGAAGGGAGGAGCGGAGCCTGCACTGGGGGCACGGCAGGGACCACATGCAAACCCAGCGTGAATAATCCCGCTACAGATCTGCAAGTCATTGGCAGGCTCGCCAGCACCTCTCCGTGCTGACTCAGCTGCTCGGGGATGCGCCAGCCAGATGCACCTGCCAGCGTGGTCCGGGGCTGCCGATGCTGCAGGACAGTGGAGCCCCTTCCCCGGCACTGGGTTTCCATCCTGAGCTCAACCTGGCCCCAGCACCTGAGCCTGCTCCAAGGAGTGGGCAGACACCAAACGGTCACTGCGGTCACATTCCCAGCCTGATCCTCCCTGCCTACATCCCTGATGCTCAGTGCCTGACCCTCCCTGCCTGTGTGCATGGAGCCAGCAGCCGGAGCAGCCTGCAGCACTCCCATGTGCTCCGTGCTGGACACTCGTCCTTGCTGTCACCATAACCAGGATCAGCCACCGTCACAGCAGGGACAGGCACTGCTGCCCAGGCAGTGGCAGGGGGATGCAGATGGGTGCCGGGGCAGGGATCATCCCCACCTGCCCAGGTCTCGGGCCCTGCTGGCTCCTCGCCAGCCCGTCCCGACAGCCACGTTCATATCTGTTATTAATTAGGGCTGTCGCAGTGCTTGTCAGTCCAAGTATTATTTCATTCAGGGACCATTAGGTTCCCCTGTTTTGCTGCTCGCTGTTGCCGGGGCTGCTGGTGCTGCAGAGGCACAGATCTACGGCTCCCAGCACCTCCCTCCCGCCAGCGCTGCCTGTCCATCCCTGGGCAGGGATGGGGCTGCTGGGCTCGGTGGGGGGGGCTGCCGAGGGCGAGGGCCCCACGAGGAGGGGGATGGCGATGGGTTTGGCTGCGCGATGCTCGTTGACGTCACGGGGAAACGGCTGCTGCTCGGCTCTGCAACCCGGTGCTGCCTGCGTCCTCCCCTGCCAGCTGCTCTGGGCTGCCTGCAGCGTGGGAAAAGCCCTGTCCTCGGGCAGTGCCGGGGCCCCTCTGCTGAGGGTTACTGAGGCCCTGGCCCCACAGCAGCTCCTGAGCTTGCACCAGGAGCAGCCCCTTCCCTGGGTCCCTCCCTGTGCCAAGTGCCCACGGGGGTCCTGGGGACCCACCCCTGCACCCCAGGGGATGCAGCCAGATGGCACCAACCTGCAGCCGGGTGCTCCCAGCTTGGGGTGCCCGGCCACGCTGAGAGCCCGTTGCGTGGTGCTGGCCCGTGGGTGCCAGGGACAGGGGCCTCCAACAGGTATCCCTTGCTCACGCACCGCACGTCCCTCCCGGGGGCACGGGGAATGTTCACACACAGCACTTTGTGGGGCAGCTTTCCGCATTTGCATTAAAAGAAATTCTAGTTATTAATGGCCTGTGGCCCTTATTTAGTAAACGAGACAGGAGATTAGTACAGTACCTGAGGTGGAGTGCAGAGCAAAGCCGGTGGTATTTAACACGGCACGGGGGCAAAAGCAGCACCCCACCATCCGTGCTGCCCGTTTGCCTGGGCAGGTCACTGGCAGGGCTGTGGCATAGCCCTGTGCCGAAACACCATGGCCCTGGGGACAGTAGCAGAGGGGCTGGGACAGGGAGCTGAGGCCTTTGCTGTCAAGGGGAGAAGTGGCTCTGGGAAGTGTGGCACATGCCGCTGCGTCCTGCAGGCTGGCAGGCGTCCTGCTGCTTCCCGGCTCCTTGGCAGGGCACTGTGCCGAGGAGCCCGGGGAGCCCCCGGGGCCAGGGGAGCCCCCACAGAGTGGCTCTGTCCAGCTGGCTGTGGGATGCTGCTCCCTGAGCCCAGCCCTGGAGGGCAGAGCCAGTGGGACCCTGAGGTCCCCTGCCTGGTGTCCCCTGCCCTGCCTGCAGCTCAGCCCCATGCCACCAGACCTGCGCAGCGGCTGGCGCCGCAGGCCGGGGGGGGGGATCCTCTTTTTCTGGTTTAAAATTCCACCCCCGCCCGGCACCCCCCCCCCATCCCCCCAGCCCGGCCCAGCGGCTGCCGCAGCAGGCAGGGGGTGGATATCATCTTTAGCTGATTAAATGTCCCTCATTAACGAGTTTCTTTAATTAATGAAGTTTTTTTGTTTGCTCCACTTGCTTTCTCCCCATCGCACTCTGCCTCCTCAGCACAATCCAGGCCATTTCCTTTCAAGTCATTTAGTGCGTGGGGCCGGTTCCTGCCGACGCCGCACTTTGGTGATTGTGCCTGTCAGCTTGGGGCTGACGACGCCATTTTTAACATTTGCTCCTTTTTAAGAAAATAACGCACCAGAAGCCCCCAAATGCAGAGGACACGTCTGAGCAATTAGCCAAGTGCAGAGCGCCTGCACTAATGAAGGGGCACCTGCTGGCCCCGGGCACCCTGCAATGTGCCGCCACATCTCGCCTGCGATCTGCATCCTGCCGGCACGGTGTGAAGGTGCAGCGTGAGAGCTCCCCTGAGTTATCCACTGCTCATCACCCACTGCCACCCACCTCTGGCCATGGATGGACAGCGTGGTGGCCTTGTGGTGGCCCTGCAAGGCCAGCCAGCGAGCCGTGCCCACGCTCAGCCAGAGCCTCTACTTGCACACATGGTCGTGATTTACACCCAGGCGGCAGCCTGTCCTGGGGCCGCTCCCCTCCCCTGCAACCCCACGGCTGCCACAAACGTGCCCAGAGTTTCCTCCAAAAGCCTCACAGCCATCCCGCTGCCTCGGCCCGTTCCTGCTCTCATCTCCAGCCCAGGGAACCCCCACTGCGCCACCTCTGCCTGCGGATGTCCCCTTCCCGCACGCTGCGCTCAGGCCAGTGCTGCTGGTGCAGGGTGCAGGGGTGACACGGCACTACCTGGTCCCAGCACGGCACCGCCTGGTCATGGCACATGTGCAGCCTGGCTGGACAGCAGTGTGCCAAGTCCTGGAGCAGCTGGGGAGGGGGCACAGTCCCATCACCCCGCACCTCCCTACCGCCAGCGAGAAGGGATCCCCGAGAGCAGTGCACACCAAGGAGCCTGCAGCTGCGGGCGTCCGGGAAGCAAAGGCAGCGTGGATCCACAGGCAGCCGCGGGCAGCCAGCCCAGCTCCGGTCCCTGACGCCTGCAGCTGTCCCGCTCCCTCCCCTGGGAACCAGCCACCCACCAACGGGTGCAGCAAGGGGCTGGGGTCCTAACACCACCACAGCATCCAAGGAGGCCGCCAAGATGTTCCTCCAAGCTGCAAAGCCTCAGTGGGCAGCACATCCTGCAGGCAGTGCAGGCAGCAAGCGCATTACCCTGACCCAGACTGGCTCCTGCTTGCTCGCTCACTGTCAGGGCTTCCCCTGGCTGCACGACAAGACAGCCCAAGGTCAGAGCCGAGCACCGAGAAGGGTGTTGAGCAATTCCCCAAGGGTGCCCGAGCCAGCCTGTGTCAGGGCAGCTGCTCGCTGCTGCAACAGGTCTGCAGCGCATTGCTGCGGCGGGACCCGCCGTGCCTGCCAGCAGGACACAGAGCTGGGGATGGACTGGGGCAGCGCACAGGGAGGCCGATGGGAGCATCTGCCCTCGCGCCCACTGCCTCGGAGCAGGGCGGCACAGCGGCACCGTGCTGTGCTGGGCAGCAGAGATGGGCTCAGCAAATGCCCCGGTGGCGGCAGGAGGGTCCTCGCATGGCCCCACAGGGCCCCCAGGCACCCAAGGGCCATGCAGCCGTGCCATCACCGCAAGCTGTAGTGAGGCTGTGCCCAGTGCGGCTCATCTGCGTGACAGCCACAACGTCCCCCCTTCGATCCAGCCGCTCGCTCATGCTAATGACTGTCAACATGAAACAGAGGCCGTGAAGGGGAAGAAAATTACTCCCTGAAAAGGAATTGACTGATCCCCGTCATTTCTCAAGGAATCACTGACCTGTGAATATTTCATTACCCAAAATGCTGCGCCATCCATA